GTTATATAGTATTTTATGAAATCATTGTACTACCTGATATTCCACTGTGATAGTCTACTATGGCCTGTATCAGGCACACCTTAGTCTCCAGACAGACATCATTGCTCTTCAGTACTCTGGAGAGGTCCGTGACAGTAGACTTTCCCAATGCAATTAGTCTCTTGATTTCCTGGCTGCTAATACCAAGAATGTTGACTGTGGAGCCAAGCAAACTGAAACTGTTAACAATCTCAATCTCTTCCATCCATCATGCTGCTGCCAATTGGCCCAGTGGTGAGAATCTCTGTCTTCTTGATGTTAAGCTTCAATCCATATTGAAAGCTACAAGCTGCTTCTGCAGCAAGCAGGGCCTCCTCAGTTTCAGCAAGCAGGGTTGTGTCATCTGAATAACGCAGGTTGATGATGACTCTTTCTCTGATCCTGATGCCACATTCCTCCTACCAAAGAGACAGTTGGGACTATTCTTGAGAAGGCAAGGAGAGACCTGTCTACCTGTCTTCCTGAAGGATACACGGCGCCCCCGTGTGGTAGGCACTGTATTTGTCCGGGTAACCAAGTCACTGCACAGAGGATGACCTTCCAGGGGGGATGACACAGCAACCACAGTGATCAGTGATGGGCTTGAGCATGGGACAGTGCGGGCCAGGGTGAGGTTCCAATCAGTTGTTCTCAGGATCACTGGAGGAGTTGTAGTTCTTTTAATGACCCCTTAACAATACGTTTTTAGAGACAGCTACTCATCCTTCTCTCATGGGGCAGCTGGTGGATTCAAACCACTAACCTTTCCCTTAACAGCCCAACACTTGTTATGACCTATACAGAAAACATAAAAAAACCCACAACACACTACAGTTCATTTCTGATTGTGTCGTAAGGACACCATCACATTTGGGGGCCCAGGCTATTCTGCTACTCTTGCTTTGACTGCCAGCAGCTTCTGATGTGTACACTTTTGTTTCTTCTCTCGGAGGACGTTAGAGGGACAGAAATATCTAGGTTTTTTTGTTTGTTTTTTTTTTTAGCAACATGAGCCACATTTTAATATAACTAGTTTTTTTTAAACATCACAACGGAGAGTGGAGGGGAAGGGCTGAGCAGGGAAGAAGCAGCTCAGCCTAAAGGGGTGACCAGCAGTTAAAGAGCAGCAGAGGCAACAAGGGGCAATTTGAAGAGCCCCACCCACAGCTTGGAGTCTCATAAAGGCCTTATGAAGGCCTTGCTTTGTGGCCTCCACAAGCCTCGCAGGGAGGTGCCTTTGAAGTTCTGTGCTCTTCATCAGAGCCAAGTCTCTTCCTTACAAAGGGCTATATTTAACTGGGAGGCAGCCACTGTAACACTGGACCAAAAAAATCCCCACCAAAACCCAAAAAACCCACCATCAAAGAAAACACATACTTTATTTTTGAAAAATTGAAAGGACATTCAAGATAGTTTGCCTCATTTGCTTGCGAAAATTTGGCCTCTTTTCTAGGATTTCAGTGCGTGGCAATGGGTTCCTTGAAGTGGTTCCTCCTCTGTTCCCCAACACCGGGAGTGGGTAAGGGTAGAGGAACTGATTAGAAGGCCTGAATCTGCCATCCTATCTAAAAAATAGTTAGGTGCATTGTGCAGCTAAAGACAGCAGTGAGTGACTACTTAAATATTCTACTTGTGCAGGTCAGAGTTCCAACAAAATTAGTGTCCTCCTCGTGGTCTGGCCTGCTTGAACTGTGCAATAGCCCCCCAGGAGTGGAGGGCCTGGGGGCTGTCCAGGTCATCTACACAACCCCAGGCAGTCTTGGCCATGCATCTTCACATTTCTTAGTCGGGTTTTTTTTTTCCTAGCACGTTTGCATTTCAAACTCACTTCTCAGGAGTTCCTAGCATACTGGTCCTTAGCTTCAGGGTATTACCTACATCTGGGTTCTTTTGCATTTTCCAAACCAGAAAAAGGAAGGAACCAAAACCAATCCCCCCAAAAAGCTCAGTATCCCCTTTGAGTTGACAAGTCTGTTATTCTACGAGTATGAAGAAAGGGATGCTGTCCCCCATCGCCCTTGTTCATGCAAATAGCGCTCACACTTGGGAGAAATGGCCATAATGGTCTTTACTGCCCAATTTTCTCAGAAAGGTGCCAATGCTGTCGAGAATTTGGGGACCCCTCGGGGCTCTGGACAGTACTCTGGAATGAATGAGGGGTTCAAAAGACAAGGCTTACTAGAGGAACACATCATCAGACACACATTTATTATATTTTATATATATATACACACAAAGAGGAATCTGCCTGTTATGTGCCGTCAAGTCGCCTGCGACTCATAGCGACCCTATGTACAATAGCTCTAAACTCCGCTCTGTCCTGTGCAAATCGCACTGTCTCTGACACTCCCATCCCGATTATCCCAGTCACTCAATCAATCCACCTCATAGAGGGCCTTCCCCTTCTGCACTGTCCCTCCACCCTGCCAAGCATGATGTCCCTAAG